CAAATTGAATTGAGAAAGAATAAACTAGTTTTATTTAAGAAAGGACTTGTATTGCAGAAGTTTCTTGGAAAGAATTTCTACGGAAAATTAACAAACAGACCATTGACGTAACAATATGTTCTATCCTTCTGCTGACTCAGCAATAACTCTGATGGCCTATGATGGTAAAAGCCAAGTTTTGGTACTTTCAGTGAGTATACAGTACAGATGGCTCACTATTTAGCTTTGTGCTTAATAACAAACAAAGTTAATACTATATCCTGTTGGACACTGAAAAAACATTTGTGTTTAAAGTAAAACTAATCAAAACAATAGAGCTAAATATTTAAAGTCTATAGTGGTATGATAAAAAAAATCTTGCCAATATGTCCCACTTAAACTGGTCCACATGCTATATTTCTAAAATGAAGTACAATTTCATCTACTATATACCACTTCCATTTTGAAGTCAGTAGTTTTATGAAATGTTATGTTTGTATATGTTTCTTTTGTTGTATTATTCTTTGTTAAAAAGCTAGTCACTTGTTTTATAGAATATGAAATGCAAAACTCATATGGCTCTAAATTCATTAACATTACTTGTGGCTTATTAGTACTTTAAGTTTCTTAATAATTTTATTTTATTACATAGGCTAATTGTATAGAAGAATTACTGCAATGACTGTTACATTCAAACAGCTTAACTTTTAAAAACTGCTTATTTCATACTAAATAAATATTACTTTTAAGTTTAAAAATTGAAGGAAATCATGAAAAATAACTGTTACTGATGTTTACCAGTAGTTGATCTGAATATCCAGAACAGCAGCTATTTATCCAGTTTTGTTTGTGATGGTAGAGAAAAACATTAGCGTTTGTTGGACATAAAGGAGATCACTACTGCAGTGCCATCAATCTAGTCATATAGACCTTTATTAGAAACAGAATCTTGACATTTCATGAATTTAATTTTGAATTTCAACACTTTTATATTTTTTTCAAGTCAGACTCCCCACTGTTCTCCCCATGGGGTAGATTAACTATCTCTTAAATAACCATGAAATACTGTAATGACATTGTTCCTTCATTAGATATTCTACCAGAACCTATAGCTCTGGTATCCCATGATTTATTTTACTACTCTTCAGTTAATGTGCACATTCATTGTAGGGTTTTAACACTTAAAGTGTCTCCCTTTCATACAGTTATTCTGCTGGACTTAATTAACAGTCAAATTTGCCAGATCTGTTGAAGAGAAGAAATAATTTAATTTTTATTATATGCATGTATTGTGAATTGGTAAGTTCCATTAACAGTCAATGATAGGGAATGTAGCTAGACCGCAGGAATAACTTTATTACTTTGATAATGAAGCATGACAGTTGGATATACAGGTCTTGCAACAAAATCATGAGCTTATACACCAACATGCCAAGTCTAACTTACCTACCCAAAAATAATATATATATCTAACATAAAGTATTTCCTTCTGTGAGTAAAACTTTTTTTTTTGTTTTACAAACTAGTACCAGGAAAATGTAGCTACTACTAGTTTATCTTTTAGAACTTGAATAAACACATTTTATCAACAGTATTTTATAAACTTATTAATTGGTATAATTAATAAAAAAATTCAAAATTCTAACAAAAATAAAATTTAAACAATAAACAAAAGGGTATACAATATATATATATATATATATAATATAAAAAACACCTCATGATATTATCTGAAGATCTTCACACTTCTAAAATACAGTAACATTACAGCAAATTTAAAAAACTTTCTCAATTCATTAACTTATCCATTTATTTAAAATATAGGTATTTAACTTTTCCCATTCAGACAGACAAAACCACCAAAAATATCGGTATTTATCATAACAGGCTACTTCACTTTTAATCTATGCTTACTAAAAACATCAGAAATAGCTAAATATTTCACTACTTACTGGTACTAGTACAAGTTACAAAGAACAAGAAGAATCAAGTGTAGCACAGATACAAGAATATTTATCCCAACATTTACAAAATATGCTTTCTTTCCTTCATTATTGAAAATACCCTCCTCCACCAATTGCCAAGTTTTCTGATTTTTCACCAGGTAGGTACTCCAACTTCCACAGGGTGACAGGGAATAATACTATAACAGTACAGTGTATGTATTATATAAGAATATGTCATATCATACTAGTTTAAATAAGTGTCAAAGGTAAAAACACAATATGAGAATTCATCACAGTTAAGTTTTAATAAAGCAATTTTTTATGTAATGTATATTTAATCTGTGAAGAATATATTAAATATTATTTTAACCAGTATCACATACAGACTTTTCAGGTGATGGTAGACAGGCTACATTTGGCCTACAAGGGACACCCCAAGTAGCCTGCCAACAGTCAACAAAAAATTATAAGAAAATAAAAATAAACATGGAGAAAAAACCTAGTAACATAGTAAATCAATTTGTGAATAAAGTTAATATTTTCCTATGCTGAAAATATATTTCCGATAGATACTTACCTCCTCTCACAATTACAGCTATTTTCAATTTGACTGTCCTCTAGTGCACAAAATTTCGCTCACCATTAGCCTTGAATTCTCACCTAATTCCATGTGTATACCATGTGGTACATCTACGTTTAAGCATGCCAATTAACATGCAACAACACTCCACCAGTAGGAATGCAACACACCCCTCCTATCACAGCTGACTCCCTCTGTAGCCTAGATTTTTATGATTTATCTACCTTAATACACAATACATTAGTAGTTAAGTTGCTCAAAGAGACTTAGTTAATCCTGTTACATATTAACAACATCTTTGTCAGGATCTTTAAATTTGGTACAACCAGTAAGTTATTATTGATTAGGTTGATTTTATTTATGATTTAACTAAAACTGTATGTTCAATTAATAAATAACTTTCAAAGACTAACTCCACACATGACATATAACCTAAAGTTGATAAAGCATGATTCTATTTGGGATAATTAAATGTGATATAGCTTCACTTTAAAACTGATAATAAATTTAAACACATGATTTTTAATGATTCTCATTCAGGTTTTTACTGAAGTGAGTATGTCACAGCACTCAACTACACTTTGTTGTAGCTGACAGGTCTTCTCTCACTACCAGAGCTCATCAAACCAGCTAGGTTATATAACCCAATTCCACAGTATTGAGTGCCTTTATATATTCTTCTCCTGTTGTGGCATATTTAAGAGTATGTGTTTAGAAGTATTATTAGTCTTATTGTGACCTTAGAATAACATGTAAATGACTTTCTCTAGGCTGTTTGATCTTTTCCATCTAGGCTTTCTTAAGCCTATGCACAAAGTGTTTGAATACAATACTATCTGCAATACACATTTGCCGATTTTTGTTTCATAGGTTGCTTTTAGTTTATTTAACTTGGCACTACCATGTTAATTTTATGACTTGTCAAGAGTTCATTGTAAATACCATACAGACATACACTTCAAGCATTATGTAAGCTGCATTTAAATAGACATGGAATATTGAATTTTCTCTCTACACTTGCAAATACCACGAATATGGGTATGTACTTTTTAACATTCAGGGCTTTAACAAAAAAAACTAAAAAAAAATTGTCATACTTGTTGAACTTATTGATCTGAATTAAACATTGGGCCATAAAATTATTAATTACTATCAATTTCATCAACTGCTAAGTAGACAAACTTACAAACATCTCCTTCTTCAAGAACATCTTCTAGATTTTCACATAAATTGTTACATGGTTTTTTAGGTTTCAGCCTAATGTGGTGGTAGCCTCGCACCTGAGCTAGCCACATTACTGTAGTACTGGTAGGTGGTTGAATCTGCATAACAAGAAATAATTTTGTAAGTTATTTTCTTATGTTGTCCTTTCAGACTAACAACACTACTTGTAATTAGAAAATAAAATCTACAAAGGAGTCAATTGACTGTGAAAATTTTAATTTTGAATTTTGTTTATGCTTTTCACTATAGGGTGGTGATTATACAGCTACAGTGATGCTATATATTCTGGAGATCACCAAGATATTTTCCTTTGACTGACTAACTTTGTTCGAGAAGTTAGGTCTTGGTTTAGGGTGCAACTTTGAACTGTACTATCGTTTACCTTATGACACTGGCATCAGGGATTAAAATAGCCATCAGTTATTAAACAATGACTAATGGTGACCTGAAAATGGCTAGCAATGGTTGTATCACATAGGACATCATTTTAGATGACATTATTCCTTGAGGAATATCAACAAATGTTTTCTATTGCATGAAAGACATATAAACACATTGCTACAAAAATAAAAGTATTTACATGTATCTCGGATATATCTTTGTCTTCTTTGATCTAAGTTTAATAGAAAAGTCACATTCTCATGACTTGTGCCTCATGTAGACAACCAACATTTTCAATACTATTGTATAATTTTACACACCTACCTGTAAATCATTTTATTCATTATTTCTCTTTGCATGATCAGAGAAACTCATCATAGGATTTGAAAGAAAATTAATTTTATTTTGGAATGAATGTAGAATACATATTTTTAATGTAGAAAAATAAGAAAGCAATATTTCTCATTTTGAATTTATGGCTGTTATAAAATGATTTTTGACAAGATGAATGAATATTGTTGATTAATATTATGAATGTGGATTACAACTATTCATTTTGAAAATTATTTTGAAATATGACTGGATAGTTAATTAACAAGATTTCCGGATATTCCGATATGCTAAAAGAGATTGTTCTACATGTCAAAAACCTGATACCAAATATTCCTGTGTTACTTGTCATTTTACTGTTTGCAATATCTGTTCGGTTTCAGTGAACTCTGTATATAAGATGTAAAGTGAAGAACAATGTCAGATTGGGGCATGCCCTATCATGCAAGGAGAAATCATAGCAAAATATTTGGCAATAATAAGGAAGTCAAGGTTAAAGACATTATATTTCCATAATCAAATTTGTAGCAGATGATTTTTACTGATGTTTGGCATTCAAGATGAAACGATCGCCACTTGCAGCTTTAGAGAAACTTTTGTTGTCAAGAAGAAGCAACATGAATAACAGCCAGGCATACATAACTTGTATATTTTTTTGGTTTATTGTTACAAAACGGTTGCTTTTTATTAGCTTGATATTAGTTTAGAGCACTAGAATTTCATGCAAGAAAAGTGACAGACTGTGTCTACCTTTGTGTTGGACATCTTATATTGGGCTTTGAAATATTTATTTTAAGCCCTGGTAACATTAGATGAAAAGTGAGACTTAATCTGAATGTTACAACAGTAATATTTCTTACCTTCTTGTAAAGCCGTCCTTTGTAGTTAAATGACATCATAATCCAATTTGATTGTATCATCTCTAACATAGGAGGTATAAAGTAGGGTCTTCGGTAAAATTTCCGGAGAAACTTTTCTGTAGCCTTTTCACAATTTTCCCTGTATTTAATCAAAAAATATTTTCCTTCCATAACAAAAATGTCATTAGATCATATCAAAATTTCATTATATATAAATGAAAAACTAACAACTAAAATGATATTGTAGTCAAAAGTAAGACAGTGAAATAGAAACACAAAACAATGTTTAATAGCAATAAATTAAAATTATTAACATTTGTTTGTTTGTAGTTAAGCACAAAGCTACACAACAGGCTATCTATGCTCTGCCCACCATGAGAATCCAAGCCCAGTTTCTAGCATTGTACATCTGCAGACATACCGCTGTGTGTGCCACTAGGGTGCAATTATTAACATACCACAAATAACAGGAAAAACTGTTACAATATTAATAATGGTTGGAGACGGCTTGAATGGGTAATGAAGAAAAACTTTAATATAAGTCCAACACAACAGCAAATGTACAACGTTTCGACAAGGTTTTGTCACCTGATGATGACAATACCTTGTCAAAATGTTGTACATTTGCTGTTGTGTTAAACTTATATTAAATTTTTCTTCATTACCCATTCAAGCCATCTCCAACCATTATCAGTCTCAAAGTGGGTTCCTCGTCATCGAATTTGTTACAATATTATTTCTATCTTGTTGAGATATTCTTTCCTTTCACAAATGGGACTAGACTGCTAAATAACTACAAACTCTAATTCTTTCTTTTTAATACTCAATTTCACTGTATTTAGTGTAGTGCTTTTATTGAATGGAAATAGTGTTCTTCCAAAATTAGACTTGGAGTAGTTATTGTATGTTTTCCTTTATTATGTTAAATCACTGTAGTTTACAAAGTTTTTATAAAACTATATATATATCTAATAGTGCTGACTTACCAATGAACATACCACCGGTCCATGTGAGGGTTCTGTTTTAATTTTTGTAGAAATTTCTGTGGTGTATGAAATCGCAAGTTAGTTTGGAACATGCAGACTCCTACGCTATTTATTCGAGGGTCATCAAGATAGCCCTGGAAATAGGAGAAGAATAGAATGAGTTTGAAATTCACACACATACATGAAATGGTAATATTTATAAAATACCTTATTTATCATGCACATAATTATTCCTTACAGCAAATTTTGTAATAAAAGAAGATACATAAACAAAAACAATTTATTTAAAAAAGTCTTTAAGTTTGATTATTTTTCAGCTTTCTTGCTCATGTTTTTGTTAAATAGCTAATTAAAAACATCATGCTAGGCTACCTACTAAGTATGAAAAGTTATTAAATATTTAAAATTAGCAAATTCCTACATACCTAACTTCTCTTAAGGTTGTTTACTATTAAATTAAACTTTGGTGTTGGCTTCTTAAAATCAAGTTTGATTATTCTAGACAAGCTATTATTCAACATGTATAACTATAGTCATAGATAACTAATACCTAAAGTATTACTAACCTCACTCAAATTAGCAAGACTAAACGTTTCCTCCATGATTGGCCAGTTGTTGGTGCCTTCCATTACAATTAAAGGTATGTCATTCTTTAAAAGGTGTTCAGCCACTTCATCAGGTGATGTTTGATTGAATCTTTCAATTTCTGTAATATCTTCACACACCTGCAAAAAAACTTGCAAGTTTTAATCAGAATGAAAACTGCTATAACTGAATGAACATTTATTTTAGCTCAAAGTTACAAAATGGGCTATATGCACTGTGTCTGCTAATAATAGTCCTCATGCTTATCGCTGAACCACTGGGGAGGTACACATGTAAATACAGAATTTCATAAGTTCATCAGTTGCTGTTGCCATAAAGAGCTTATTCACAGTAGACACACTTAAGCAATTATAGGGTATTAAAATTTCCCACTGCAAGAGATGAGAAGATTTTTTCAGTTTCTCATTGGCAATTTTTAATAGCAGAGCCTTGTTTTCTTTGCCTTAATGGAAATTCTAGTTGTTGGTAATTATATGGATGTATTAATGGCTTTATAATATAGTTAAGTGAAACAGTTTTAAATACATTATTTGTGTAATTTATATGCACAAAATATATTGTTATAATAAGTAACTTGTATTTATTGTTTTTGGATGTTGATAACTATAATCAAATAAATGCATTTAAAAGTAACATATTTGATTAACCCTTCATTATGGCAAACTATTAATGAAAAAAATCTAAATAAAAACATAATACAAGTATATCATGTGCTATTTTTAAAAAAATGTACTAGGAGTCATTGTGCTAATATTTTGTGATGCTAGCTAATGTTAATGAAAATACCGTAAAGGTTGTTGATTAAAAAAATGTAATCAAATTAACCTCAGATTTTAAATTTATCCTTTTACCTGAATATTGACACAATGTAATGACCCAAAGTACCACACTCAATACTGGAATAACACAGATTGCTATTGCATCTTTAAATGTAGTGAAGGTTAGGGTACCATAACTGAACGTGGCTCCAGGGCATATATGATTGAATGGTACTACATGAAATGTCTGAAATTTAGAAGAGAACCCAAAGAAGATTGTTTTCTTGCTACTGAAAGTGCTCCAATTTTCTCAATTAAAATGTTGACAAAAATTGAAAAGTAATGGTTATTGGTGAAGTTTTAATATAATGTAAATTTGTTTATGTATTATTTGTATGTAATAATTATTTTAAATGAATGTTTCCAAGAACCAAATGATAGTTATGAAATAAATTTTAACAGAATAGTTATTAAATGTCTATACTTTATAATAATTAGTCATAATTATGAGTGACAGGCAAACCACAGAAAGCTTTTATAGCCAATCTATCTTAGATTATCAGTTCAACATCCTTGCTGTTATCAATGTTTCTTAACCTTATCCTAAGAACACCTGACTAAATTGGGCCCTTTTATGGAATTAATAAGCACCACTACAGAACTGTGACATGTAAAGCTTCATATATCATGCCTATCACATTTAGCCAATGTAGTTATTACTATCAAAGGCATTTAATAACATCACATGTGCATATGTGACCTCTGTTACTACTGGACAAGTTCTAACTGTTTTAATTCACTAGTGTAGTTAAGGTGAACTTGCCGAGGTTAATCTGTACAACATTCGGACATGAAAGGGGGCTTAAAACCAGAGGTGACCAGTCTTTAAAGAAAGGTAATTTAAGAAATGTTAGAATAGGATTTGAGGAAAATTAGAGATAACAGACATATGTTGGAGCATGTAAAGTTAGGATAACGGAAGTTATCTATATCCAACATATGGCAACTATAATAATTATGTGATATTATCTATACCAAGTCAATGACCATACCACGGTAAACAACTGATAAGGTAATATTCTTTTCTACGATATGATGTGATTGTGACAACTTTATTATTTTTTCTGTGCTGAATGAATGATGTTTGTTTCAACATTTTTTGACAAAAAGGAAATGCATTGTTTCATCCAAATCAATTTTATTTCAAGGGAACTTACCTCATCATCAGAATGACTATCATCACACTATACATACAGGATAATCAGAAATTGCATTATAATACAGAAAAGTATACTTTTCAATGGATGTATTGAAAAATAGGAATTTACATACAACTGAAATACATAATGTTACAAAGATTTTAGTAGGTCTAAAATACTAAACAGAAAAAGGTTTACATACATGCAATAAAATACATCAAATCACATATACTGTCTCACAGACTGCCAAATCAGCTCACTGCTACAAAATCTTTATAACTATTGAGCAGGTACCTTTGTACAAAAGAGTTTAATGTGCTGGATCAAAGGTATTTCATTCAGTCTTCCTATATACACAAAGTAAAGCAGATTATGGATTTGTCAATGCTAACTGTTGAGGCATGGTACTGTTAGAATTTTACAAGTACAGAAAAAAACTTTCCAAAAAAGGAAGTAAACGTAGGAATGGCTAATATCAATCCTTCAAAAACAATGCAAACAAGATAGCAGAGATGGCATTTGCATCATCTCTACATAATAGCACAGACACACAGTGTAGTAGAATATTAACAGACATAATATAAATAAGATAAATTAAACTCAATTGTGATTGAATAGTTATATATATATTGCTATATTTTAATTCTTGTCTGTTCTATTATGTAGAGATGATGCAAATGCCATCCTTACATCTTGTTTGTATTCTTTTTGAAGGATTGATATTAGCCATCCCTATACATTTACTTCATATTTTTGAAAAGTTTTTTTCTTTACTTCTTTGTTTTTTTTTGCTACAGTGTTTCAATAGACATAGGAAGGTTCCAACTGTAATATTTATTGTTTATCTATTATTGGCTGGTAATTCCTGTTTCACCCCGTACTTAAGCTTTTTTCTGTAAGAAAGCTAACTTAAAAGGATAATGATAGCATTATTTATCCTAGAATTGTTTTTTCAACTACAACTAGTTAATAATACTTATAAAAGCAGATACTCTGTTTGAAACTATGTCACCTCAGTGAAATTTGTTGACACCATTGTTTTGTTTTTTGAGTTATAATGTATATAAAAAAGAAGCAGAAGAAAGTAGAAAAGGAAATTTAAACTTTTTGCTATGAATATTTATACACATTCCCAGTCACTACATAGATATTGTTATAAAAGGAAACACTATATGGTATTGTAAAGTTCTGATCACCTATTGAGGAGATGTTTAAAATATCATTTCGATGAACAATCCAAGCCATCCCTACATTGGCAGTGCTACTGCCTGCCTGGTAAGAGAAACTGACAATACATCTTTCAAAGTTTTGTAGTATTTTGCTTTGTTTATCACATGCTCAATGTGGACTTTCACTCCACCTTGACTTCTCTATCTCTTTTAGATAGAGTTGTAACTTGCTTTGGTGAAAATGGTTTCAATAATCTTACCCGTCTGATAGCAAAGTTTTCTTTCATTTTTGGTAATCTCTTTCCTTTTTTTTTTAATTTGAACCTGAGACTTCTCATACACCTAGTTAATGCTCTACCAAATGTTTTTAACTAATTAAACTACTGCATTCTTCCCTTCTCACAAACAAGGCCCATTCCTCGAGCCTAACTTCAGGGTTGTGAGATGGCCAAAGGGTGGGTGCCAATGTGATGTATTTTTTTTTATTTCACAACATATATTCTTGCCTCAGATTTCAACCTAATACTGGTTGCATGCTAGTCAAATGCTCTACTAACTGAGCTAAAGAACTAGCCCCTAGTGCTTGCTAGTAAGGCATTTCTAACTATTCAACCTGCTACACATTGTGAAATCATGATAAGCTAAAACCCCATGCCCAGAATTATGTTTGTTCAACTGTCCACTCTCTGCTATTATGACTTGATAACTTGTATGTTCACCCCATTAGTCAGACTATATATCAATACTTGTACCAATAAAAATTTTCACTGTGCTGGGTCCCTTGTAATGTGAATGTGTTAATTATTATTATCTTCTTAAATTCATCATTCCAAAATGACGCAGACAACCCTATGAAATCTTTTTCTAGCCACATGACAAGTTGTTTTAAGTATTCATGCATTACATCTATCAAACAATGGAACTGGCAAGAGACAGATGAAAGGCTTATTCCAAATCCCTCATTATATTAATAATAGTTTTACTAACACCATCAACATCTCATTCTTAGCTGTCAATTTATAACCTTAACTTGGCATAAGAGGGGCAAGATAATTATAAAAGTACTGAAATGTGCCATATGCGAAACTAGTGTAGACACGAATTCTCTTATAATTTGCTTTAATAAAATCATGCCATAAAATTCTATCTGAGATTTTATGGTTTTGTTCATATAGGAAAAGACAATATATATAAAGGCCAACAACATGCAGCTTTTCCTGAATTTGTGTAAGTGCATTATTAGCATTAGAAACATGCATGGCTAAGAAATGGTTCTCTTCTTCTATTTGCTCAAAGACAGATAACAAATGATTTTGGTTCTACTCAGAAGGAATTTTATGGAACCAAATCTAATACTTTTAGAATATATTGTGTGCTTCTCTCACATAGGTATTCCACAATAGGCCTAGTTTAACAAGCGACACCAGATGCGAGAGTTTAGCATAGTGACAAATTCTTATTGCATGGTGCTGACTACATTCTTTTATCAAACCTTTTGTGCCATAACAGCTTCTGGTTATTAAGTACATCTTCACTGTTTTTGTATCCCATGTTAATGTGTGCTGCACAATCAGGGACTTTGAGGATCATGTGAAGGCTTACCTTATTTAAAAAGAAATAAATAAACTGACTGCTTTTATCAAAGATATTGATAAGTTTTTTTCTTAGGATATAATACATGAATGAATACGAAGAGACACCTATATCAAAAGAAATTAACATGATTTTGTAAGTTTAAAAACTTGCAAATAAATATGAAAAACTATCAATACACATAATTCAGTGACTTCTATACATAAAAGAAAATTTTCAATTTAATATCTACAATTTGCATGATTTATAATATTTTTAAGGTTATGAGTGAAAAAAGGGATTCTATATCAATCTTTACTTTTACAGGTATAAATATCGAAAACTGTGGTAATTTCCTTTTTTTTATGATTCTTTGACTACAAGTATAGCATTAGTGTTGATTATAATAAACAATGGAAATATTCTCTTAAATGGTATAGACTCAAGCATATATATACAAATATATATATATATAATTACATGCTTATTTGTAATATCTTGTCATTCAAATTACCTATATACCTTCAATAAAATGCACAGAGCATACTCTTATCATATTCTGTAGGTGTTCAAGGCTTCCCAGTGTTTTTATCCAAATGTGTGAGGGTAGTAAACTAATGTTATCTTCTTACTGAATCTATAATTTTGAAAGGTATTCTGATGAATTTCAAATGCCTTTCCCTCTTAGAATTGTTGGTACAATTGAATACAGAACACAAAACCCTCTTTTTTGTGAATTTTAAACAATTATATATATATGAAAAGTACAGAATTATCTTTCAACTAGGCACAGTAAGCCACAATGCTGGATTGTTTGCACATTGTACTTTTGACATTAGACTTTTGCACATGTACTTCAAGAGTGTTGGGTGAACATGCTTAGAATATCCTCAAACATAAGTACAAGGAAAGGATCTCTCAATAATATTCATTTTTGAGTCCAGAAAATAATAATAATAATAAATTTGTTGTTGGATGCCAGCATTTCCACAGTATTTATACAACTATATCTCTCCAAATTTAATACACCATTCAATGAATTGATGAAAAATGAGTGCTCTTATAAACCGAGCTAAAACAATGGCATGCAGCATAAGCCTAATGAAGAAATTGAATATTTTAAGAATTTTTCCTTCTAATTTCCATCTTCTTAAACTTACCTTTGTAATGGTCAGTGATCTCAAGAGGAAACATGAACCAGTAAAGAAGCATTTCACAATATTTACACCAATGCTTAAAATGAATATAATTTTCCTTGCAGCCTTTAGCCACTGCCAATAAGGCAATTTTTAGCTACACAAACTGATTAACACAACAGTATGATATTAAAATATTCAATTGTTCTTTAAAGATAATTAATGATGTTCTATTAATAAAAAAAAGTCACACACACAAAAATAGTTACCTGACAGTCACTTTCTGTAAGCTTGTTTTTAGAAAAGAAAGGGTTATAAATGAAACAGGAGGAGTAATACATTTCTGTCCAATCCCAAAATGGTAGAACCTGTAACAAGATAACTTTTATGTCAGGTCAGATTCTAAAATACAAAAAAAGTGAAAATCCAAATCTTTTATTTTTAAAACAATAAAAAAAAAGAATTACATTAAAATCACTTTACATATATAAAAAATAGTGAGGCATGAAAATTTGAAAAAACGTTGTTAGTGATTTACATTTTTTAAATAAGCTTTTTAAAACCAATGAGTTTTTTTAACTGCCTGTATACATAAACGAATGGGTAAATCCTGTAAGTTGACATCCCTGCACCTAACAGTGAATATTTAGGTGGTGTTAGGTTCATTTAACTTGTTATACATCTTCAATGAAGGAGACAGATATCATTTATTGTACTTGGCATTTAGGATTATGTTAAAATTATAAGATGACAATTTAATTAAACTAAATTGGGAATACAGACATCAGTAAAACTCACTGGTTCCAGATAAATACAGTTTCACATGGAGACTATGATATGTTTGTATGAAATATACACGTATAATATAATCACAATCTTAAATAATGAGGTAGTAGTAGCTTACAACAGTAAATTATGAGCTGAAACTTGCAACTTTGTATATATGAATTACTAGTATATGGTATTAATTTTTTGTATGTCTAAATTATTTACTAACTCAGAAAATTAATTTGTTATCAACAGGCAAAATTATACTTGACGTACTGTTACTTGGAACAGTGTTCATTAATTATTTTTATATTTTTAATAAAATTGAATTAATTAAACAATCATTATTGTGAATTATCTGGAACAGAAATGAAACAGTCAAAGAAATTTCGAGATTAAGCTAGACTGTTTTAAAACCAGTTCATACTATAAATACTAGAGCAGGAAGAATGCTCATTGTTTTTAACTCAAAAAAGATAAGTTAATTTGAAAATATATTACGTATTTTTATGTAAAGCTGGATAATAGTTACTTTGAATTAATGCTATTTGAGTTTGAAAATATAAACTGATGTTTTACTTCATATCTTACCATGGAGAGCCAGATAACATTTTCATTTAAATTATTTTACATGTAGCAAGCACAAGTACATACCATGGATACCCGAATTTGCAGCAGTGTGTTTACATTGATAAGAGAACACAAACATTCTCAAACAACAATCACAAAGTTTGGAAAGCTACTCTTCATACAGTTCTATTTAGAAATTAATCCATCAAAAATTATATTGAAGCAAAAAACTATACACACTCATCTTCACTGAAAGTGTATTTGTTGTTTCCAAATGACTCAAACTTTAAGTTTTTTTTGTTCTACATGAGTGAATGATGTTATAATATTAAACATGTTTTTCATCTTTACACCATTTTCATTCTGGTTGTCATAATAGTAAAAAAAGGTAAAATGCTTATTGTAAAGTTATTAAGAAAATTTTAAGAATCAAAGAGTTTTTGTTAAGCATAGTAATGAATATCTAAATTACCATATGCACCCATCTCTAAGTTTTATTATGTAAATATTTTAGTGGTATATATATATATATACTGAAAGTCCCTTAGTAAACTAGATGGTTCCTGAATGATTAAAGAAAAAAACAAATTTCAAGTAAGTACAAGTTTTAATGAAAGAAATGTACAGGATAACAAAAACTGTGTGTTTACGGAAAAACATTCCTTATGTGTAAAACTTAACTTTCGTGGTATCCATATAAATCTGATCAAGGAAAGATGTTATGATATAAATATAACTAAAAAGCTATAAATATAATTCTGTCCTGCTCTTTCTTTTGCCCTCTCAACGTCCAACACATTGTTCTGATCTCAGCCCAATAGTAAATAAATTCAGCCAAATGGACCAGTAATCCTTGTTGCTATGGGAACAGCCAAGAATGCTCTGGTGTGATAAGAGGATTTAGAGTGACAAGAGTGTTCCTAAGTGTTTGAGGATTAGAATTAGGTTTCTGATGTGCTTACTCTTCAAATATCTAATGGCATGATGATTAACTGCCACTTGATCAATAAGAAGCAATCTTATACCAACACTGGTGTGTTACTCAAATCCACATTGGTGCGAAAAAAAACAAAAAAAACTCTCTGTACTATTCCTGATAAGTATAACGTATCTAAAACCCTACATCATGTTCAGCTGCTAATCCATATCATACTGTTACTGAATTTGTATAACATTCACAATCTTTCGAATTTTTTAAATGCAAAGGAAGCAATTGATTCCCTAACCTTCACCGGTGGGCAAAATTTTGATGCCTACATGAAAAGCACCTGATTGACATCTTTTATTTGGAATTTTATTCATCGGGCGTGTCTCGTTCTTTTTATTTACAGCCATTTCGTGATCTAGTTATATTTGTTTATGATCATAATATTTGTCTATATAACGGTTACCGCACTTAGATCTGTGTCTTGTTCGAAGTAATGAAAAATAATTAATTTAACGGGTCAAATACACTTATTGTTGTAGTTTCAGCTGGCAGTAAAAGTATATTTTGATATGCGTTTTTACAGAGATAAAAGTTAATATTATATGTTAATAAAGGTATCAAAACGAGGCTCTTGCAGTCGCCCTATTACGGTTGTCTTCGAAACTAGACCAAAAATGCCTGGATGAAAATAACCACCCAATCCACTTGCCACGAGAAAACAGATAATTATATTTAATCTATTTTACAATATCTTTTGAAATTGTGACGGTGAATGTTTAATGTACGTTCATGACTTTTATGTATGGGTCCAAAATATTTGAGTGTATAATGCCCCTTCCCCTACCCCAACCAGTATATGAATATTAAAATAATATGTTTAATATAGCCCAAGTGAGTTACTCAACTTCCTCTTTCGGTAGTGCACATAGTACGTTTATTCACTTTTGGTTTTTACATGTTTTCCTGCTAGAAAAATAACTTACAAATATTGTGAGAAAGACAACTAATTTTGTTGTTGGCGAATCGGATGATAGCTAGGGGTTGACATACCTTTTGCACACCTTATTCTCTGAACACACGGGCTGCTTGTTGAACGTGGAGCCGTTTGCAAGTTTTGATTTAATATTTATGTTGTGTTATCATGCTATCATATACAAGGCCAGACTTGCGTTTGTCTCCCCACCCCACCCCGAAAATTAAAAAACACAATTATTTCTTCATTCATTCAGCATATGCATATGAATTTACAAGTTTAATATTTACTTCACAATTTCACACTACTTATTACATTTAATTTTCTATCGTCATAAAAGTCGCCAGGCTTATCTCTAGATACCTACCCTGTAGCTCAATATTGAAAAACATCGCTACCATGGCGGCTTCTCGGATATTGGACACAGTAATTCTCTCTCTCACTCAGGTCATCAAAAAGACTGACGCAGTCTTGTCGACATCCCCCGAGCTCTGACACGGTGTGATCGGGGCCAACCTGTTGCTACCTGGTGGTAATACCGGTAACAGTTATCAAATAGACTGACACAGTCTTGCAAAAATCCCATGAGACAGCGTGTTCCGGGTCAACCAAAATTGACTATTATGGAGTATATGTAGCTGTAAGTCTGCAGTATGGCTTAAACTAACATTACAAATATTAAACCTGTGGGAGATTACTTATTCTCTTGACTGCAATGACAAAACTTTGAAGGAGAGTCCATCGTGCCTTGATTTTGACTTTGCCCCTCCCCCTCTGGAAATATTTCTGCGGACGCCCATGGTTACCACATATACATATCCACGAGACATACTTGCCCTATTGTTTGTGTATCATTTGGTATTGTGTTTTGTTTTATTGTACAATAAATATATGTGCTTCAATTGTGCGTTTGTAACTTGTCTTTTTGTACAACGAACTAGTTTAAAATTCGAATAGAAGTATTCTGTAGTCTTCATTTAGGTGACCCTAACTGACTACTCTGAGGTACGTTCATGAGCCAGAAAATACAACAAAGTAAAGGAGAAGTTGAAATATTGATACTGTGACCAGAATATTGTAATGCAGATTTTTTGTGGTATTTCTGAGAGGGCAACACTCTCATTGATATTCCATTGAGTATCATTGAGAAACTGAGTGGAATGGTCTTCATAAAATCCCTAAATATATGCTAAACAAAATCAGAATCATGTCTCCGATCGATGCCACTCATAGAAAAGAAGGTAGAAGTGCCAGTGGTAGATAAGCTTCACCAACACGAGTTGTTTAGCTAGCAAGCACTCATCGAAGAAATTGGGAATCAGTGGGCTAGCAAGTAGCCTTTCCGTGAAGTGAGGCATCTAGCTCAGCTGAGATCCAGACAAAATGCGCTACTGGCAGACGAGGTCCATCAACAAATGCTGTAGGTGAGACGGTGAAGCCTCGTGTAAGAAACAGACAACTGTTGGAGTAGGAACCTTCTCCACGAAAGTAGCCATCCAGTCCTGAATAGAGGAGCGAGGTGCCGTTGATGGAAGAACTTTCACAAATAAAACCTAGTAATTTAATATGCAAATTCATTAAGCTTAAAAAATACAAGCATTCTAAATAACAGTTTAATCCATAAAATTCTGTAAACAATGAAGCAGTAGTATATCGTGCCATATTATTAAAATAATTATACTTTGTTAGGTATGTTCTCCTTAAGAGAAAAAAAAATCGAAACTTGGACTAATTACAACGTCGGATTTATATTTAGTCTTAATAATTTTCTTCTTATTTACTTTTTATCAAATTACTCTTATAATTTTAACTAAAAATATTCGATGAGGATGGTTACTAATGTTTATAGTGTGGCCATTCAATTCCTTATATTGAGGTTTTGCGGACCTAAACATTATATCGATGGTTCACATACTTTTAGTAGACAAAATTCCAGCACTTTTCGAGGCCTTTTAAAGCTTATTCATAACTACATTGAACAATTCATGCATACCTATCAGTTCCTTTTTGTCAGTCTGTTATTAAGTTAATAAAAGTGGAATTGAATGTAGTTCAATTCCGAAGTTTTAAATTGTTATTTTTCGAGTATGTCTTTTGAAAAAACTTCGTTTTATCCTTTGTTAAGAGCA